GTGTGTGTGTGTGTGTGTGTGTGTTGGGGGCGGGGGGTAACAGAAAAAAACAGGTTGTAAAGTGTGGGATTTGGAGTATTAAAGATTTGATTTTGCCACTTACTGGCTTTGTGCCCTGGGGTGAGCACCTTAGCCAGCCTGAGCCTCTATTTCCTCCTCATTCAAGTGTGCAGGATAATACCTACCTCACTCGGTTAGACTAGAAATTTCTTAAAGCCGTATGGCACATATAGACCCTCAATAAATGGCACCGCTAATTCATGTCAATTAATTTGTATCCTTTGAGAGTAAGGACATGTCTTTCTCATCTTCACCCTTGTTGAGTGTAAATAAGTTGTAACATCCAGAACCTACTGACAAATAACCACGGAAGAAAAAAAGTTATTCAATTCTGTACACATTCCAAAATCTGATCCTAGTAACATACAGCTGCTCATTCTTTGTAGATGTTGAGCGCCGACGCATTTACGATATCGTGAATGTCCTAGAGAGTTTACACATGGTGAGCCGCCTGGCCAAAAACAGGTACACTTGGCACGGGCGGCATAATCTCAACAAAACCCTGGGGACTTTGAAAAGCGTCGGGGAGGAAAACAAATACGCCGAGCAGATCATGATGATCAAGAAGAAGGAATATGAACAAGAGTTTGACTTCAGTAAGAGTTGCAATATAGAGGATCATGTCACCAAGGCAAACACGGACCAAAACGGACACACAGACATGTGTTTTGTCGAACTCCCTGGAGTGGAATTTCGGGCAGGTGAGAGCTGATATTCAAAAAGTCTTAAGAGAAGGTTCCTTAGGAAACTGCTCTAAAGCTACTGCTGCCTTTCACGTTAAAATGCTGCAGTTGTCAACTGTCTGGTCAGGTGGTGGTATTTTTAGAAGTCACTTGTCCCTTTATGCCTTTTAATTCTCTAATCCTCATCCTTCTTCAAAGCCTCTGTAAACAGCCGCAAAGACAAGTCTTTAAGAGTGATGAGCCAGAAGTTTGTGATGCTGTTTCTGGTGTCAACGCCTCAGATAGTGAGCCTAGAAACTGCTGCCAAGATTTTAATTGGGGAGGACCACGTGGAAGATTTGGATAAAAGCAAGTTTAAAAGTAAGTGTCATGACTCCATGGACCTTTGGACCTATTCTTAAACAATAAAATCTCGGTTACAAACTGATTTCCAAATATATTTGCTATATAAACAGGTCTTCTCTAATTATGCTTTTGTATCTTCACTTCT